GTGTGTGTGTGTGTGTGAGAGAGAGAGAGAGAGATTGAGAGAGAGAGGGAGAGAGGTGCAGATCGTGCAGAAGGGCAGTGCCTTTGCCTCTCCGCTTCTCCACTAATAAGACCCGATCATCATCCCTTCTCTCTCTCTCTCTCTCTCTCTGTCTCGGAGAGGCGAGGCGGGCGCGGGGGCTTCAACGGGCTCTGCTGTCCTTTCAGATGCAGCGGTGTCGCAGCGTCCTGTGCGTCTCCTTAATCTTTTGCGCGGCCCTCTCGGAGACCTTCGGGCTGGTGTTATCCGTAAGTATGGTTTCTCCCTCCCGCTTTTTGGTCTGAAAAAGGCGCCAGAAGCCGCCTCGTGGCACGTGGTCTGACCGCCGGACTTCTGTCCCTGAGGCGATCGTGCCGGCTTGAAGGGCAAGTGGCGGGAGGGGGGGACGATGGTGGTTGCACGGGGAGGTGACTTTTTTATCCAGGTGCGAAGGGACCCGTCCTTGGCTGAAGAGGAGGAACCCCGGAGCCTGGCCTTTCCAAATGGCCAGAACCTTTTGGCAAGGATGTGGGAACTAGCAGAGTGTGAGAGGTTTTGCTACTGATGTGTCAATTTAATGTAATGGGATGTGTGTGTGTGTGTGTGTGTGTAATGTATATGCGTGCGTGCGTGCGTGTGTTTTATGTTACCTATGTAATAGGCATTCCCCTTCCAATTAAAGTGTATTATTAAATTATGCTTTAAATACTGTACTACTTTATTTAGCTGATAAGTAAATCTCACCACTCTTGAAATTGTTACAGTCACAGTTAGGATGTTTGCTTTGTTTTCAAAAGCTTAGTGTTCAGGTACCTCTTTTCCCTAAAAATGTTTGTCTCTTTTAAAAATATGACTGTGTATTAAGGACAAAATGATAATCTTCTCCCCCTTTTCCCTTCTGAAAGGCTAAAGAGAAAAGGGGATGGACTATGAATAGTGCCGGTTATCTGCTGGGACCACGTAAGTTCAGATGTTTCATATTATTCGAAGAACTGCTGGATAGCTGTTCAGACATTTGGCTGCAGAGCTAGAGAGGTTGAGAGTTCTATTCCCCTCTCCACCTCCTTGACCAGGGGCTGGATTTGATGACCCATAGGGTCCCTTTTAGCTCTGCAGTTCTAACATGATGATGATGATGATGATGATGATGATGATGATGATGATGATGATGATTAAAAGAACTGGGAGAATAACAGAAAATGAGCAGTCAAAGGTTTTGAAAGCATTTTGCATCTGGGTTGAAGGGCTCTAGAGAGAAATAATATCCCATTGTAGTGCTCACTCTCAGCAAGGGACAGTGGGAGATATTAAATCACTCGTTTACTGCTCTCTGATATTTATTTTAACCTACTTACAATAGGGTACTCTGAAAGAACAATTATTCTATTACCACGCTTGAGTTCTGAGAGTAAACCAATTTCATCTGAAAGCTCATCTTTCAATTTCAAAGCAACAACATGCAGAGACGCATTAAACAAAACTCTGGCATCTCTTTAGACAGCCGAGTCAATTTTTTGAAGTCATTCATAATGAATAAACAGGAGAAATATATTTATAGAAGAAGTAGATTTTTCTGCTTGGATCTTGGCCCTAAGCTGCTTCTGTTGTGTTCTACTTTGTTGTGTTCTACTGAGCGCTACTAGTACAAACTATGAGTAGTGTATGTTTATGTAGATTGTAAAAC